TGGACGTAATATATTTGTGTCGTAATAATCACACAGTTGTGTGACGTTTCAACGCAGGAGTGATACGAAAAACACGACTGATGCATTTTTGCTCATTAAATGGAAATACGTAATTATTCTCGCAACTTGACAGAACTACAATGACTGACCCGTTGGTTACTATATGGACAAGTGTTGCAATCAAGAGCACGTCAATCTGCCTGAATCATTTGTAATCCAGTGCCAGTCAAGTTGTAAGACAGGTCTTTGAACTGCATTATTTTGCGTTTCACACTATTGTGAACGAGTGAATTTCTTTGTTTTTATGATTTTTATATTTACATACGTGTCGCTGCATTTGGATACCGGTTAATTAAAAAAAAATCCGGTTGGGTTTATTATCAAAAGGTTGGCACACTAAGTAAAAACTTTGTTGAATTTCCGGGACTTGTAGTTTAAAGCAAGGGCTCGAAGTCAGCCATCGACACCTATTTATTTGTCTTTTGGTATTTTTTTTACATATCTTTGTCTGTCTGCTTATAACCAATTATGACGATTCATAAGTAGCTTGAGATCATGACAGGGCATACTAATGTCAAATAATAAGGGAAAACGACGAATGTTATAAACATTTTAGAAATCGCAACGACAGTCAATGGGTTTTAGGGCAGGGAAATCGAATTATCCATACATACGCATTATGCTTAGTTCTCCCTAACACTTTTATGCCCTCCACCAAAATACATAGTATGCATTGTATGGAGGGTATATTAAGTTTGTCATTCCGTTTGTAACTCATCGAAATAATAATTTTAGACCCAATAAAGTACATATATTCTTATCAGCTTAGAATCCTAAGACTATTTAGCCCTGTTCGTCCGTTCGTCTGTCCGCCTGTTGTAATCACGCTACAGTCGAAACAAATTATGATTTTAAGAAACATTTTGCACAGATCTGACTTTGACTTTGATGATTTTAGCCACATTTTTCAATGAAATGGTCTGAAATTCTACACAAGGAATTTTTTACTTAAGTAATTTACCCTCTGGAAGAGAATTGTCTATGCAGGAACACGATATCGTATAGCCCCTATATAACGGTACCTCCCGATATTCGGTATTTTGACGATTTAAGCCACATTTTTTATATAATTCTGCGAAATTCTATACAAGTAGTTATTTGTGAGTACTTTACCCTCTGAAAGAGAGTTGTCTATATAGGACCACGATTTCAGCAACATGTTTTGAATGGAATTGTCTTAAAATCCACACAAGGGGTCCCTTCTGAGTACATTACCCCCAGAAGAGAATTGTCTAAATAAGTCCAAGTTTTAGTATAGCGCCCATATAACGCTACCCCCATGATTTTTGCGACATTATTGATCGGAATTGTTTCAAATTTCGTATATATAGTTCGAACCCGTTGCTACAGCCTATGACATAAATTACTAAGTCATCGTATAGCCCCTCATATAACGGTTTTCATTTGAGCGGTATTTTCCGACTTTTTTTTTGATGATCTTTATAGAATTACTTTCTGAGTCGATTTATGCATGTCCGTCCCTTTATCTGTCTGTCTATGTCTTTTTGTAATCAAAGTGCAGGTCGCATTCATTGTCGGACTGAGATAAAATTTTCCACAACTCATTTGTTTGGCCCAGAACGAATTCTATTAAACTTAGTGATAATCGGATCAGATTTGGATATAGCTCCATATATAGTGTCGTCTGATTTCATAATTACTGTGCACCAAATGCGTAATATCAGTCCGAATTAAATGAAATTAGCACACTCGGCCAGGGATCAGTCCAAAAGTATGTCTGGCAATTTTTGTGATTATCGGTTTACATGTAGCTTCCATATATATTTTCGTCCAATTTAATTGTGCGCAATATGTATAGTATTTCTCCAAATAGGATAGATTTCGGCACATCCGATCGAATTTAGCTCAGAAGTAAGCACTTCGAATTCTCCATATATATGTTTCACCTGATTTGGGGTTAACGTCCCTCACATTTGTAACATGCTCTTCACTACAATGCACAGTGGTCGAGGTCGTATGGAAACAGCGGTCAAAAATACTTTCAGTGCAGATATCAATATGATTCTTTGGTTATGGTACATTGATGGGATAAAAATTAAAAATGTGACAAAATGGATATGGTCGATGCATGTTTTGGCATGGTCCCCTTATAACGTACCTCCCGAATAAGGGTTATTTGCCTAATATTTGTCACTAGATTGTTCTGTTATTTGACATTTTACGTTCTAAAGAGCTAAAAAATAGTCTTTTTGAAAATTATTTGGAACGGTCCGTCTTCAGGTAGAGTCCCTCTGTAAAGGTACCTTCAAGAATAGAAGTATTTTTTAAACAAATCCCGGGTTGCCCATATTAAACGGACCTTTGGGACCATTCCAATCGACGAGGCTTGTCCGCAGGCAAGGTTCTTTGCGTCAATTGAATTTTGTACGGGAACAAATGCAAATCAATGCGAATAATCCGTTGTAAAGTGGACCGAGCCATGCCCAACTGCTGTGAAAGGCGTTCTTTGGGACCTCTCAACACTGGCTCGTACGGCAGCGATATTCTCGGCCGATCGCCTTGGTCGACTTTTATATTGCCTCTTCGGATTAGAAAGAGCCTTACCAGTCGAAAATTTTTCGTATAAACGCTTAATGGTGTTCTTAGAAGGCGCACTTCTCACATTTTTTAATGTTTTAAAAGCACGTTGAGTTTTCACAATTGACTTCTTGTAAATTCCAACTATTTCAGAGCGCTCGCGTGTCGTGTATTGGTTCATGGTAAAAATCTGCTTGGACTGACGCTTCAAACGCGGTATGTCATTAAGCGATGTGACATCTCTGTCAAAAATTATGGCGTTGCCAGATGGGTCCGTCGAATATGGGCAACCCTGTATTAAAATTTTATTAGCTGTGGGTGAAAGATAGTGCCATGGATATCTATTTGTTAACTCTTTAGCCGTTTTCAGTGCAAAGGCCTTAAATTTTTGGACATTAATATTATACCCAGAAGACAATGCAGGCAACATTATTGAACACCCCTCAATTCTATCCTTATCAATCCCAAACAACAAAAACATATTCTATGTCACTAGCACCATAGAACTGACAAAATTGGAGCGAAGTCACTTCAGTATATTGGGCATAACATACAAATCTGACAAAATCTGAAAGTTAAATTAGCACTTCTTAAATCTTAGGACCATTACTAATGGCGTGAAAAAAATCACATTGGAGGATTCAGGGGGGAAAACAATTAAAACTTTAACTGAAATCCAATTTTATTTTCAAAATTAATCTCAAAGGCAACTCAGAACACTCACATCGTCTATATTATACACAACTACTAAACACACAAATTACTGCACTAAAATAAGTCAATACCTTGCTTTTCAATAATTATACTAAGATTTGTCATTTTAAAATGTATTTAATATTGTAATACAGATCTATTTTTACTCCACTTTTTCACTGATCCCACTGAAAAAAGCACCTAACTACATTCTCTCTTTTTTGATGCTATTTTCGAAGTGTCCCGTTGCAATGAAGCCAAGATTATTATGTTTTCTAAAAAGTTTAACCTCTTAAGAGTTCATATGTACACATTTGATAATAAATATCTGATTTTCATTTTTTGAATTTTGGCCAATGGCAGCGACCACTGTGCAATGGTATTTTGAACCAGATATCAGATACACCCCACAAATAACTAGCCAAATTTGATCAAGATCGGTTCAGATTTGGATATATATTCAGATTCATATATATTTTTATCCAATTTAATACTTATTGTGCATCAAATGGTAAATATCAGCCTTAATGGAGTGGATTTTGGCACATACGGCACATTAGATTTTGGAATTTTGCCTAGAAGTAATTTCTTCAAATTTGGTGAAAATCGGTTAAGATATAGCTATAGGTCACATATGTGCATATATTTTATACGATTTGGCGTTAAAGTACCTTACTGCTGTAAAGCTATAATACGCATTTCAAAAAGGTTCACTGTTGATATCATCTAGTTCACATAAATTCCGAATTAAACGCTTTTTTGTTACGGGTAGCTATACTTAATATGCATAGTGATGTAGGTTATCATATCGGCCACGCCCAACTTTTGACCTTTCTTTACTCGTTTAAATTATAAAAATACAAAACTTTTCTATTCCCCCCAACTTTTTAAAAACACAACTGCTAGATATTTTGCCTGGTAGGATATCAGTTTGTAGCCAGCACTCAGGGGGAAATTCTCTACAATAAATTATATTATCTGCTAGTAACTCAATGGAAAATTTCTTAAATAAAAGTAAAACTACATTTATTAAATATACAATGCTTGGCGCCGCGTAGCAAATGTTTCTATAAAGTTATATTATTTGAACAACCAGAAAATATATATCATGTGCTTGTATCTAAATGGCTTGTAAATACAAAAAATATTTTTAGAAAAAATAAGGCATGACAATACAGTCATCTAAAAATAGAAAACTTGTTAAATGTTAAACCAAGTTCACCCCACCAACACTTTAGATAAGATTAACTTTATTTTACTGAAATTCTAAAAAAGTTAATTTTCTCCTTAAATAATATATTTTTGCGAAGCTACTGTCAACCATAATTAGGGTCTTATTTAATATACAATGGTATTATCTCATGTTCGGTATAAGTTGCGACACTGTGCGACAATGTCTTAGATAATTATTTAACACATTTATTATTGGCAATTGTTCTATAAAGTAAATATGGCCGACAAAACAGCTGGAGTAATAAATTTCCAAATAAAAATATTTAACTTTGTCATTAAGTATAATTTAATTATATAATAATGGAATTAGCGGATTTGACACCTTGAAATTGAGAACATAAATAAATATCTATGTGTATGTATGTTAACGCACATAATTAACACATATTTTTCGCAATTATCACCATTTTTTCTGCTTTCGTTTTAAATGTACGACATTTGTTAAATCAGTTCTTTTCTCTCTTCGACTCTTGTAGGACATACAAAACTGGTGGTGATAACTGAAAGACAACAAACATGAACAGAAATATCGAGACCCCCATTTGTGACTTGGGTTTTTCTGACAAGGTAAATATGAAACGACATTTTTCAACATCCATTCAATTTAAAAACATTTTAAAATAATTATTTAAAAAAAACTTAACAGCATTCATTAAGTGCTTCTGTTTATCAAGTTGATGAGGTAAATAAAATTTCGTCAAAGACCACCTTAACTAACAAGTGTTGTATGTAATTTCAAGAAAAAAAAAACGACTCCTTAAGTGTTGGTAGCTACCACTCGAGTGTTAGGAAAGTATTTGTTGTGAGCTTTGTGAGAAAATAATTTTTTAAATAGACAATCTAAAAATATATATTAATTGTGTCACTTGAATTTCATAAACGAAATATTCGTAGGTGTATTAAAAGGTATACCGAAATGAGCCACTAAAGCTTTGAATAAATTTTGATTAAATAATTTAACAGGAACAATTAATACTCTGACACTCAATTTGGAACTATCAAATTTTGAATTTGAAGTTCTACTTGCAAACAGTTATGTATATATACCCTACAACACTATGAGTTGGGGGTATTATAAGTTTGATTGGGCCAAAAATTATGTAACACCTCGCAATATTGGTTTCCCACATAGGAAAGTATATATAGATCTTTCTATCTCGCTGAGCTGAGTCGATCTTGCTATCCGATCCGTCCGTCCGTCTGTCCATGTTAATTTGTAATCACTATACAGGTCGCAATTATGGCCCGATCTTCAAGAAATTTAGAATGGAGGTGAGGCTAAACCCAGAATAGAAGCCTATTGCTTCTGGAGATGATGGCATAATATTTAGGGGTTGAAATGGACCAAGAAGTTAGCACGGGGCTAGAGCTTAGGGCTGGGCAGAAGCCTTCAAATTTTGATGGCCATTGGGAAATATTTAGTGGATGAAATAGACCATAACATCTGTGTTAAATTAAAGTCACATTTTCCATCAAACCGCGAATATTTTTAATCCAGCTAAATCACAAACAGACGAAAAGATCAATTTTGACGTAGATGTCGATAGTAAAAATAGATATAGAGTGATATATCTCAAGAATGAATGCTTATATCTCAAGAAAGGCTGGACCGATTTTGTCAATTCAGAATGCCCTGTAGTAGATTTTTCAGATTCTGGAAAGACCAAAAATGGATCGTACGAGTATACGGATATCTCATCGATAGCATTCGATAGTACGTCAATAGTTCTTCGATGGCATGTGGATTGCTCATGGACACCAAACAAAAAACGACCAATGAAACCTTCACACGCAGCCCGAATGTTGCTCTGCGGTATTTTGGTCCATTCCCGGCGAAGCGCTTGCTTGAGGTGATCGACACTTTGATATTTGTTTATTGCCAAACTCGCTTTCCAAAATACTATAGACACAATAGTCCAACGGATTGGCATCCGGAGATTTTAGTGGTCATTGTGCGCTGGAAATGAGCGAGGAACCTCATTTTGTAACCATTCTTGAGTGCGATGGTGATGAGTCCTGTTGGAATGTCCACGGTCTGCGGTCAAAATGAGGCTTTAATACACTCTCCAGAATATTTTCGCGTTAATATTCGGCATTTGTTCTGATGCCACGGTCGGACTGATTGAACCAGCATTAGTTATGTTCGAAATACATTCATGTATTTCGACGTGCAAAACCTATTAAACTCCTGAGGATAGACTTTCCATGACGAAATTGCGATCAGCGGCTTATCGATGTAAAATAAGTTATTAATGAAAAGATATTATACAATCAGTTCAAAAGCTGTTTATATGGAGAATAAACTAGGAACATTTGCTGTTCTTATTAGATCTTACAAAGCTTAAAAACTAATGGGGCAGTTGTAAGAACATAATATCACTATGTTTAAAACAAATACATGTTGCTTCAACATCTCGAAGCTGTCAATATGTCTTACATAATCAGAAAATATGTATATCTATTTGGATTATGTCAAAGTATTCTAATCTTCAAACTAAATCCTAGTTCTCATGATGGCCAATGACGTAAAGATTACCATCGAAAAGAGTTTGACGATACAAGTGCTCTCTAAATTTGACATGGTGAATTTCCACATGTGTCATGATAAATTGGGTATCAGACTGTAAATAGGGTATTTAGTTTTGAGATTAACAAGAATTAGCTTCTTTTTTGCCAGCTATTATCAATGTACTTTCAAGTATTTGTGCTATAAATAATAATCAAGTCTTTTTAATAACAATTAACACCTTTTAGTGAACTGATTTAATTGCTGAAAGATAAGATTCGTTCTATTTTTGTTTTTATTTTTTTGAATCTCCTCCTCATTGTTTCTAAAACAGCCATGCATCGTTAAATTATCAATTTTTCTTTGAATTTTAATTTCAAATAATTTTGTATTTGAAAGTTTGTATTTCACTGTCGTGTTGTTATTTAATCAACTTTAATATTAAACAAACAAACAAAAAATACATGCACGTGATAATAAAAAATGCAAATGACTGTTCATGTGATCTCCTAATATGGATGTTGAATATTTATTTTATTTACCCTGTCAAATTTGACATAGAATTTATTCAATCGGACCTGTTTTTGTTTCTGTTTTGTGTTTTTTTTTTGTTTGTTTGATGTGACCATATTTAGAAATAAAAATACGTTGCCATTCGTTAAGAGCCAATAATTGGCATTTCATCCATATAAGCCTTTAACAATAGAATTAATAACTTGAAAGTATTAATGGCCATTGCATAAAAGGAGAGAGGATTTCTGCCTAAGTAGTTGTAGAGGGTGTTATAATAGTGAAAGTTTTGACAATTTACCATTCTCGATGAATTGAGCAATAAAGTGCTTGGAAACTTAGACACGGTTCTTTTAATGATTATCCAAAAATGGATATTTTTAATATCAATATCTATCCATTTCTTTAAGATTTCCTAAGCTAAATTAACATTTGCTCTTGTTTCAAAATATGTCCATCTCATCTCAAAGCATCTCGCCTCCAGCATTTAAATGAGAATAAATCTTTTGTGTCTCGTGCCGTCGCCCATAACAGCCGATGGTCGCTCTCCGCTCGTATTAATCGGGCGTGGCATCAGAATAAATGTCGAATATTATCGCGAAAATATTCTGGAGGGTGTATTAAACCCTTGGGCACGCAAACATTTTAGCCGCAGACCTTGGACATTCCAACAGGACTCAGCACCATCGCATTCAAGAATGGTTACAAAATGAGGTTCCTCGCTCATTTCTAGCGCACAATGGCCACCAATATCTCCAGATACAAATTCGTTGTACTATTGTGTCTGGAGTATTTTGGAAAGCAAGGTTGGCACTAAAAAATACCAAAGTGTTGATTACCTCAAGCAAGCGCTTCGCCTGGAGTGAACCAAAATACCGCAGAGCAACATTGGACATAATTCGAGCCAAAGGTGACCAATTCGAACAAATCGGAACTTATTCTAAAATCGGATGCTTTGAAATGTTTTGCTTTTATTCAATTACATTTAAAAAAATGTAAAAATATGGGTGTTTGACTTTGTTGCAGTTTTTTATCTCACCCTGTATGTAGGCTTTATGAAGACGTGGACCTGCATATACAACTTTCTGGCGTAGGTTCTAGTACTTATTATGAGCTTCAAATCTTAAATACGAAATTTGAAACAATTCCGGTCAAAATGTGGCTAAAATTGTCAAAATACCGGCTTTACGATATCGATAATACTCTTCAGGGCTTAAGTACTTAGAAGGAACTCCTTGTGTGCATTTTCAGGCAATTCAATTGAAAAATTGGCTACAATCATCAAAATACTTAAAATCGGGTGGTATTGAATATCGTGGGGGGGGGGGGGTGTACAGTTATATGGGGGCCATGCGATATCGTTGGCCGATATAGTTCATGACCTGCCTGCACACAAAATGCAGATCTGTGCAAAATGTTAGCTTTCTATCTTTATTCGTTTTGACTCTATCGTGATTACAACAGACGAAGGGACGGACGGACGGACGGGGTTAAATAGCCATAGAATTTAACGCTGATCAAGAATATATACACTTTGTTAGGTCTAAAATTATTATTTCGATAAGTTACAAACGTAATGACAAAATTAATATACCCCCATACTATATATGGTGTAGGGTATAAACATTTTACTTCTTTAAGTACTAAAATGTATATGTTACAAGGGCTTTACTCATTCAAAATTTCGACACATTGACGTCCGTACTATCCTATCTTCATACCAGACCTAAAGTTGGTAGAAATATTCGGATATCCGAATCATGAAGACAATCAAATTCTTGGTGGAACGATATTTCCCATGTCCGAATTCAAAGTAATATTCCAAAGTTCCAAATTTGGTACCAGTCAGGCAGACGGACGGACACCGTATTCATATAACTAAAACATTTTTTAGAACATCGGCCCACATAACGGTAGCTTCCCAAATATGAGGATTCAAACAACTTTTTTCAAGAAATGGACTAATACCCAGCATTTTAACAGGATTTTCTTTTAGAATCAAACTTCAAACTTATATTAAAAATTTACCCAATTTTACTTAGGAGCGACAATATAAAATAGAAAATAATCAATTATTTACTAACAACATTCGTCATATCCATTTTCGTCAGTTTCAATTTTTGAAAACAAAATATCAATTACGTACATACAGACACAAACATTTTTCCATTATACAGATATCAACTATCAATGTGTAATCTTCGCACTAAATCTTAAAGTCGAACATTAATAATGGTACCAAATATTAGATAATTTTCTACGGACACTACGTCGACAGTAATACTTCAAAATATATTTATTAAATAGATTATTGAGGGGTGAAATACGAAAGCACACCTATTGAAGAGTTTCTATCATTCAATCTATTTATATCAGTCCAATGTGTGCGCACGTGATAACTATGGAATTTTCGTATTTCAAAGAACCCACTGGCCTATCCGTGGAATAGTTCAATTGAAATTTTGTCCGTTTGTAATCAAAACATGACACAAACCCATTAGCCGATCTGTGTTAATTAATTTATGGTTAATTGTTAATTGTGAAATGGATGATGAGGTGTGCGAACTGGATCGAAACTAGATTTTTTTTTGCTGAATTGCTTTTAGCAGATAATGTTGTCATAAACCAATAAATACAGAATTTCTTTTAAGTGATTTCAATTGTGATTTAATGTTATAGAGAGCCAGTGAGAGCGAGAGAGAGAGAGAGAGAGAGAATTTATTTATGCTCTAGGAAATTTTTGTTACTCATCATCTAAGGTCGAGTGGAGAAAAACTGAGATATGTGAAAATCCAAAAGGAATATTTTCTAGCCCAAACTTGCTAATTACAGTAATTTACTCATAACTGAAGACATTCGCATTGGGTTTGGACATTTTGAAAAATAAATACCTTATTTCGTACAACGATAATTGCTTTTAACAACACTATCCCCATTCTTAGAAGTGGAAACATTATCGGAAATTGAAGCGATGAAATTTTCCATTTGAATTATGTGTAGAGTAGATGAAATGAAATCATTATCTTAGGAACAAGACAAAAACGAGTGCACATACCCCTTAATCTGAGTTGGTTAAAGATTTATATGTATAAAAAATTTTGGAAGAACTCCAAATTTTATTTTTTTTTAATAAATGGGAAAAGTAATAAAATTTTCTTAAAACCCTACACAACATTGTGAAGCAAATTAAAATCTGAAAATTGAGGCTTCAATTCAAACGGAAATCAACCTTTTATGAACCTTGCTTGAGTTCACCAACCCATTATAAACGTGATTTTTAATAGTTCCTTTGAAAAAATGTAGAAATTGCTATAAAAATACCATTGTATGGTCGCTATGCATTATACGTAAAAATGTCCATCCGGATAAACTCATCAAAAGAAAAAATATTCTACATTTATCAAATTTCATTATGAGTCTCAACAAGGCCCACATAAGATCGGCCAGGATGAATACTTTTGACAACGATATGACAATGAATTTAATAGTTTTTGCACTATTGTGATTGGACTCCGATTGAATTTGAAATCACTATATGCCTTTTAACGGCAAACTCAATTGACAGATGGGCTTACTGGTCGACCTTATGTAGGCCATGAGTCTCATAAAAAATATATCATAAATTATGGTAAATTTTATATTTAAAACCCAGAGCAATTTATTTTTGAGTTTTATTTTTTATTTTTATGTTTATAATTTATGTATTTGTTTCTCCTTCGAGACGAGCTGAAATTTGCAGTGAAAAGGAAAATCAGACACTCACCACTATACGATGCGTTTCGACGTTGGTTAAGCGGCTCATCAGACATACTTGATATCAATATAAGAGGCTGAGACAAGATACAAGTAATATTTCTAGTAGCCATACAAATAGTTATTCCTAAATATTTAAGCCATTCGGGTTTATTCAAAAACAGGGGATTTGGAAACCACATAAATTGAGGACAATTTATGAACCAAACTTTTGGGTGGCCTAAATTCTGCCTGATCGTCTTAAAAAGTCAAAACATTGAATTGTCATTCAGTTTATAATGTTCGTGTATATAATCAAGATGAACATACAATTCTAAGTCGATTCCGCCTGTCTGTTGTAATCGCGATTTTTTTGCATTTTTTGACGTCTCATTTTTTGACGTAGAGCTTTGAAATTTGGCACAATATTTTATATTATGTCTAGGATGTTGGTATCAAAAATGAGATATATCGGTCCACGTTTTCGTATAGCCCCCATCACGGTACCTCCCGATATTTAGTATTTTCATGACTTTAGTCACATACTTCCACTGAACTGTTTTAAATTTGGTATTGGGAATTTGTAACGAGTTCTACCTCTGGTAACTGAACATAGTTTGTGCAGGTCCACGTTTTACTATAGCACCAAAATAATTGTACTTTGACGTTTAAGCCACACTTTCTAACGAAATTATCTGGTGTTTGTAGTTCGTAAAAAGTTTCAGATCCAGTGGTAGAACCTCATATGTATATGTCCAATATAGGTATAGGTTTTCCTATAGCCCCCACATAACCATACATTTTCTTCTCTTTATCTAATGGTGGGGTGTACTGAAAGCTCGGCCCGGCCGAACTTAATTTTATTTTACCTTTTTTATCGTATTGATACTAGTTTCCCCCAAGCGAAAAAGTTTGAAGTACGCTGCCGGTGTCAAGGAAATGTTCAGGATTACAGACCATTAGAATAGAGCAATTTTCCATTATTACAACTACTGACCGCAAGAAAGTTAAGAAACTATTTTGAAAACAGTGGATGGGATATTTTGACTCACCCGGTTTATAGTTCAGCCCTTGTCCCTTACGCATACTTGAACGATTCAGAATGTCCTCCATGAAAGGCAATTCATTTTGGAAAATAATATCAGCAACTGTTGATTCATTGATTGATCACGGTTCATTTATTTTTCCACCCTAAAATCCAAGAAATTATTTTGGCAGGGAATATTTTCAATAATATATTAATTTATTTTATTTGACATTTAAAAGTTGTTCTCATAATAAGTGTGTCTGCAAAAAGCCTGTCCGACGTACTGTAAAATAAATACACACCTTCTTCACTATGGTAAAATCTTTCGTACGGCCGTATTAGGCAAATATGTAAATTTTTATATAGTAGACCACGCATATAAGCACATTCTATATCAAACAAGTAAAAAAGCTGTAAGTTCGGCCGGGCCGATCTTTGAATACCCTCCACCATTTGGAACGAATTTGGCAATTTTCAAAACTTGAACTTTGATACAAATTCTGTTAAAATCATAAGAAGACCGAAGGAAGCCGTTATATTAGGGTCTATACGACGACATGGACTTGCATAGGTAACTTTTGTCATAAGCCATTGGAATATTCAAATTCGATACTTGAAAAAAATCGGTGAATAATGCAGCTAAAATCATCAAAATACTGAATATCAGGAGGTACCGTTATATGTGTGCTATAGGAAGACGTGTAACTGCACAGACAATTGTCTGTAATAGATTGTAGTATCTATTACGAACTTCAAATACGAAATTTGAAACTATTTCAGTGAATAATGTCGCTAAAATCATCAAAATACAAAATATCAGGAGGTATTGGGGCTATACAAAGACGTGGACCTGCACAGACGATTTTCTGTCATAGGCTGTAGTATCCATTACGAACTTCAAACACCAAATTTGAAAAACTTCCGGTGAATAATGTCGCTAAAATCGTCAAAATAACGAATATCGGGAGGTACCGTTATATGGGGCTATACAAAGACGTGGACCTGCACAGACGATTTTCTGTCACAGGCTGTAGTATCCATTACGAACTTCAAACACCAAATTTGAAACACTTCCGGTGAATAATGTCGCTAAAATCATCAAAATAACGAATATCAGGAGGTACGGTATTATGGGGGCTATACAAAGACGTGGACCTGCACAGACGATTTTTGTCATAGGCTGTAGTATCCATTACGAACTTCAAACATCAAATTTGAAAAACTTTCGGTGAATAATGTCACAAAAATCATCAAAATAACGAATATCGGGAGGTACCATTATATGGGGGCTATACAAAGACGTGGACCAACATGACCCATTTTCAATACCAAATACACATTTGAGTAAAATTTTATCAACCTACTTCATTTCATTCAAGACATTCTACTTGGATGAGCAACTTTTTTTACTTATTTTAAAAATTATTAACTTCATTATTATTTTTAATATCTTTGTGTTTATTTGCAGCAAGAGGCTGTGCAACCCGAAGCTCTGAAATTAGCCAGTCGCACTCGTAGGCGTTCATCTGCAGCTTCAACTTGCTCTTTTAGCTCTGGTAAAATTAATTCGTTTATTTATCTTATATTAATAATAATAAATATTTCCCCTTTTCTTATGTGTTTCACTACAGCTTGCTTCACTGCCAGTTCGGATGAAGATACCGTAATTTCGCCACGCGAAAAGAAACAACGTAATACCAAAGGATTTACCGATTTTTGTGTTAAGAATGTCCTTAGTCAACATGGCTTTGGCCGTCGGGAAATTGAAATTGCCGAACAAGAAATGCCTGGCATTATGACTTTGAGGAAGAGAGCGCGCGAAGATAAACCACTAAGAAATGCCAATATTGTGTGCTGCACTCACATCAACGCTCAGACGGCGGTGATGGTGGAGGGTCTCATTGAGCTGGGAGCCTCAGTGCGTTGGGCTTCTTGTAATATTTATTCAACACAGGTATGGAAGGGAAATATATTTTTTTAAAATTTACAAACTAAAATATATTTTTCGTAGAACGCTGTTGCCGCTGCCTTGGCCGAAGCTGGCATTCCAGTATTTGCTTGGCGTGGAGAAACCGAGGAAGATTTCTGGTGGTGTTTAGACAAGTGTATTAATGCCCCTGGCTGGGCACCCAATATGATTTTGGATGATGGTGGCGATGCCACCCATCTAATGTGGAAAAAGTATCCCGAAATTTTCAAGGGAATCAAGGGTATTGTGGAAGAAAGTTTAACCGGAGTCCATCGTCTCTATCACATGTCCAAGAATGGCAAGCTAACAGTACCTGCTATTAATGTTAATGATTCGGTGACAAAGATGAAATTCGATAACTTTTATTGTGTTCAGGACTCCATATTGGATAGGTAGGAGTTTCTGAAGTCATCTCGATTTTCAAATAAATAACTTGGTTGGGTTCCTTTAAATTGCAGCTTAAAACGTTCAACCGATATTATGTTTGGCGGAAAACAAGTTGTGGTCTGTGGTTATGGCGATGTTGGAAAGGGGTGTGCCAAGAGTCTCAAAGCTCAAGGATGTATTGTTTATGTGACGGAAATTGATCCTATTTGTGCTCTGCAAGCCAGGTAAGTTAAAAAAGGGTTAATAGAATTATGAATATTGAGCTAAGGATTATTGAATGAAGAAATTCAAAAAATATTTTTTGGACATACTTTTTGAAACCTGTCTTGTATTTTAAATTTTATTTCAGCATGGATGGTCATCGTGTAGTCACCCTGAATGAGGTCATTCGCAATGTGGATATAGTTGTGACAGCGACGGGAAATAAGAACATTGTTACTCGCGAACATATGAATCGTATGAAAAATGGATGTATCGTTTGCAACATGGGACATTCAAATTCGGAAATCGATGTGGTAAGTCTAAACTATACTTTAAGATCAATTCTAAAAAAAAAGAAGAGAAGAACCATTGTCTATAATAGAGGAAAAAAAGATTCGTGTATCGTCGTTTCGAAATTTTTGCTTCGGGATATAAAACCTCACATAATACGAGAATATTTTGATATTCAATTTAAACCCACAAGCGAGGTCAAATGTGGCGTTAAATGCCACTTTAAACGTGTTTATAGGAGTTTAAAATACATGTCAAAATTGCTTGCCAACAGTCTCGGAAAATAAAAAGGCTTGAATATTAACGCAAAAGTCAGAAATACAGGGTGGGATAAAAAAACTGCAACAAAACCAAATTCCATAATTTTCACTTTTTTTAAATTTTATTGAAGAGAGCAAAAAATGTCGAAAATAGCATCAAATTTTAAAATAAGTTTAGATTTGTTCGAATTGGTTACCTTTGACACGAATTATGGTCTTCAAACGGCCAATGAAACCGTCAAATGTTGCCCGAATGTTGCTCTGCGGTATTTTGGCCCATTCCCGGCGAAGCGCTTGCTTGATGTGATCGACACTTTGGTATTTTTTAGTGTCAACCTTGCTTTCCAAAATATTCCAGACACAACAGATTGGTATCCGGAGATTTTCGTAGCCATTGTGCGCTGCAAATGGAGCGAGGAACCTCATTTTGTAACCATTCTTGGTTGGCGCGTGCTGAGTGCAATGGTGCTGAGTCCTGTTTGAATGTCCAAGGTCTGCGGCAAAAAAGTTTGCTTGCCCACAGCTTTAATACAGAATATTTTCGTGATAATATTCGGCATTTATTCTGATGCCACGGTCGATTAGTATGAGCGAAGAGCGAACATCGGCTATTATGGGGGCCACACCATCACCATGGCCGTCGCTTGAGTTCTGGTGGCCTACCAAAGTTGCATATTTTCAGCTGACCTCTTCGGCAAGTAAACCAGTCGTTTTGTTTGTTTACAAACTTCATTGGAGAAAACCAAATTCGGCAGTTCACAATTTTCGGCCAAGCGAAGCAACTCTTTAGCTTTTTTGAGTCTATTTTCTTTCTGTCGCAGTGTAAGTTCTTGCACTAATTGGAATTTCAATGGCTTTACCCCGAGCTCATTTTTCAATATTTGCCGAATAGAATTTTGCGATATGTTCAGCTCACGAGCCATTTTTCGGCCACTGCGACGCGGGTTTCGATCAAGTCGCTTCTTTACATTTTGAACTAATTCGGGCTACGCTATCAGTATCACGGTAACGAGCGATGGTACGAGACACAAAAGATTTATTCAAATTTAAATGCTGGAGTACTCTAACGATAGCCACTTGTGGTTTTCCAGCCAAATATAAAGAAATCACACTTTCACGCTTGAATTCCATCACGAATAACTTTTTTTTTCCGGAAAATTCCCACCAAAATGCTTTTGTACGCTTGTAAAAAAATATAATGAGCTGTCACTGAAATAATTTTAACAGCTGTCGGACGAGTGGCTTAGAAATAAATGGTTGCATTTTTTTCATCTCACGCTGCATGTAATACTTACAATCTCATTTAAGGGTTAAATACTTACCTTTACGGAATCTTTGCCGGATCTTCCTATGAAATATCAATCAGGTTGATGTTTGCAGGGGAAACTACTTCCAAAACGCCAATACACGTTCCTTTTATTTTCATAAACTCTTCAATATTCAATGTTTTCTAATAATAATTGTTGGTCCAACTTTGAAAACGCGATGAATTCTTATTCTATTCAACCAATGTTTTTCTTTAAAATATTACAGAATAGTCTACATACTCCCGAACTGACGTGGGAACGTGTGCGCTCCCAAGTTGATCACATTATTTGGCCTGATGGCAGAATGATCATTTTGCTGGCCGAGGGAAGATTGGTAAACATGTCATGCTCAACGATTCCCTCATTTGTTGTATCCATAACAGCTTCCACTCAAGCATTAGCATTGATTGAACTCTACAACGCCATACCAGGACGTTACAAGAACGATGTTTATCTGTTGCCAAAGAAAATGGGTAAGATTATGAGAACATTTATTCATTTCACAAATACAAATAATGAAATATTTTTTTTTTGTGTAGATGAATATGTGGCCAGTTTGCATTTGCCCACATTTGATGCCCATCTAACGGAACTGACCGATGAACAAGCCAAATATTTGGGTCTTAACAAGTCTGGACCATTCAAACCAAATTACTATAGATATTAATTGTAATGAAATCTATTTGTTGTACTTATTACTATTATTTTTATTTTAATTGTTAATGTCTTTATTTTCAATGTATAATTTAGAAAATGTTAAACAGTATTTAAAATATTCAAAGAAGTAAATAAAATATTAAAGCTTTATAAAATTCCATAATAAATTATCTTTTAATTTTTCCGCAGCATTGTACCCGGGAATTGTGCATTTATAATTCTGTCTACCTTAGAAGTATTGGCATAGGAACAATAAATTATATTATTCAACTAAGGTACTATTTCCGGTTATGAATATGGTGGAATGTATAATTCTTAAAGATTTGAGATTGATATAGGTTTATACAGATTAATACATATCACTCATTTACTCAGAGAGTGGCATAACTCAAAAATGCTCAAGGTGTTACGGCTTTTTTACCATCCTTGATATTGCACAGAAATTTAATACAAATGTGCATTTGTTTGTAACATGCAAAAGGAAACGAAATAGAACCATAGTTCCTTTTGCTGATTTTCATATAAAAACACTCTAAGTCGATTTATTCTTGTATTTATACTTGAAAACACATGCATTTTTTGATTGAGGTGGTCCAAGGACGACCCCTATTGAAATTGGCCTAATTTAAAATATAACTCCCATGTACAGGGTGAGATAAAAAAAACTGCAACAGAGTCAAACGCCATAATTTTTACATTTTTTTTTAAATTTATTGAATGAAAGCAAGAAATGTCGAATATAGCATAACATTTTAGAATAAGTTTAGATTTGTTCGAATTGGTCACCTTTGGCACGAATTATGGCCTTTAAACGGCCAATGAAACCGTCACACGATGCCCGAATGTTGCTCTGCAGTATTTTGGCCCATTCCCGGCGAAGCGCTTGCTTGTGGTGATCGACACTTTAATATGGGTGATATATATTACGGTACCTCCTGATATTCGGTATTTTGATTATTTTAGCGACCTTATTTTTCTGAATTGTTTCAAATTTGGTATTTGAATTTCGTAACAGATGCTACAGCCTATGACGGAAAATTGTTTGTGCAAATCCACGTCTTCATATAGCCCCCATATAACGGTACCTCCCGATATTCGTTATTTTGATGATTTTAGCGACATTATTCACCGGAATTGTTTCAATGTGGTATTTGAAGTTCGTAATGGATACTACAGCCTAGGACAGAAAATTGTCTGTGCAAGCCTACCTTTTGGTATATTCCCCATATAGCGGTACCTCCCGATATTCGGTATTTTGATGATTTTATCTACATTATTACCGATTTTTTTAAGTTTCGCATTTGGATATTGTAATGGCTTATAACAAATCCATAAAATTTAGTGAAAATCGATTCGGAATTGGATATGCCCCCTATATAATAGTTCCGTCTGAAACCAAAATATAACTGCTCTAAAGCCAAGTGTTGATAGGTGGTATGATCTACTTCAAACAAATTATTTTGTTACGGGAGCTCTACTAAATATGCACAGTGGTGTGGGGTCGACCGACTTTTGAGTTTTCCTTACTGGTTTTGTAATATAATCTATCAATGTTATTTGATACTAGAGGCCTCCGTCAAATTTGATTCAGATATGGATATACCTCCCATATATTAATTTCCTCAGATTTCAAATTATAACTGAGTTAAAGCCACATAGTTCTTCATCACATGCATTCCCAATATAAACGTTTATATGTTACTGTTAGCTCTACTAAATATGCATTCGTAAATGGACCAGTCCGTTACACCTTTTCGTATAACCCCCATATAACAGTGCCCTCGCCATTTTCGGTATTTTGACGATTTAGATCACATTCTCCAACAGAAATGTCGGTACTTAGAGTTTGTTACGAGTTCTACCTCCTGCAGCATAACATTGTTTTTATAGTTCGTCATAAAACGATATTTGGTATTTAAGGAATTTAAACCAAGTTTTTATACGGAATTGTTTATAATTAGGTCCATATTGTGGCAAAACATTGGTTATATAGGTCCACGATTTCTTGTAGCCCTTTTATAACAGTTCTTTCCGATATTCGGTATTTTGACGATTCTCCTATCAAAAATGGAAATGGACCCTACATTCGTTTTCTTAAGTTGAATTTTTCTCGAAAGCCGCCCATATTATGTCCTTTTAAGAAAGTTCATTTCATACATCGGCCTTACATTTCTCAATGGATTTCTAGTACGGTACATAGATGCCGACAATTAAGCTACCCGTTTTCCACAATTTTACAGTAATATCCAAAAGATTAGGGTGCAAATAGAACCAACGAACCATCTCTGAACCATATCTGTACAGCCGTTACAAAATAAAATCCGTTAAAAATTCTGTTAAAATCCTGAAAATAACGATTGTAGCCGTTATATTAGGGTCTATACGACGACGTGGATCTGCATAGGCAACTTTTCTGAAAAATAAAATCGGTGAATAATGTAGCGAACTTCAAATACCAAATTTAAAACAATTCCGCTGAATAATGTCCCTAAAATCATCAAAAATACCGAATATCGAGAGGTACCGTTATATGCGGGCTATACGACCTGCACAAACAATTTTCTGTCATAGGCTTCAGTATACATTACGGACTTCAAATACCAAATTTAAAGCAATTCCGGTGAATAATGTCGCTAAAATCATCAAAATACTGAATATCGGGAGTTACCGTTATATGGGGGCTATACGAAGACAATTTCCTGCACAGACAATTTTCTGCCTTGGACTGTGGTATCCATTACGAACTTCTAATACCAAATTTGAAGCAATTCCGGTGAATAATGTCGCTAAAATCATCAAAGTACCGAATATCGGGAGGTACCGTTATGTGGGGCCTATACGAAGGCGTGGACCTGAACGGAAAATTTTCTGTCTTAGGCTATAGTATCCATTACGAACTTCAAATACCAAATTTGAAACAATTCTGGTGAATAATTTCGCTTAAATCATCAAAATACCGAATATCGGGAGGTACCGTTATATGTGGGCCATACCAAAAAGTGGTCCTACATGGCTCATTTTCAATACCTAAAGTCCTGTATAAATTTGAGTAAAATTTTTATCAGCCCACTTCATTTCGTTGGGAAGCTAGAGTGATTTCCACAGACGGATTTACATGACTTAATCGAAGTAGAATTTTATGCTGATCAAGAATATATACACTTTGTGGGGTCTAAAATATATATTTCGAGATGTTACAAACGGTATGACAAACTTAATATACCGTACCTCCATACTATGGTGTATGGTATAAAAAAAAACATTTGAAAATCTTTCAATAGCCTCCACTCTGGGTTTAATGCTCGAATTTATTCCAATTTAAACTAGAAATACTATTAAGGTCGCCTAAAGTGGGCGGAACCATTGTACAGAATTTTATAACAATTCGTTAAAAAATGTGCCTTAAATCGACTTAAAATTTGAAACTTATCATCATATATACTTTATGGGGTCTCCAACGAATATTTTGAAGTGTTAGAAATGGAATGACAAACTTAATATTTCCTTCTATCCATCGTGGAAGGTATAAAAATGCAGTAGCGTTTGGTTGACGTTCGGCGTGCATACGTTGACCAACTTCACAAGTATTTGAAATTTCAGTTACTTTGGGTTGAAGATGTTGCCAGGGCCGTTAAAACACTCCTCAAACGTTCCCACTGGCATTTTCAGATTATAGTGAAGCACATTTGAATCCAGATGAGGGATGGTAGTGAAAAATCTATTATTGTTACTTGTTTTTGAATGTTCTAGTTAAAATCTTTAGAAGAAAATTCATTAACTCCAGAAAAGTAAATTATTGTGTCACCTTGTTGTTCACTTAAACTTTGTCAATCTGTTGTTGAGTGGTTTGCAACCTCGCTAAGAAAAATCAAATGTAAATTATCAACCGAATACGATGTATAGATGGCGCCGTACAAAGTAAATACAAAAGCATTTTGGTGAAATTTTCCAGAAAAAAAGTTATTCGTTATGGAATTCCAGCGAGATAGAGTGTTTTCTTTATATTTGGCTGGAAAACCACAAGTGGCTATCGTTAGAGCACTCCAGAATTTAAATGTGAATAAATCTTTTTTGTCTCGTACCATCGCTCGTTACCGTGATACTGGTAGCGTAGCCCTACGTCAAGGAAGTGGACAGAAGAAAACAGCAACATCAGCAGAAATGGTAAAGTAAAGAAGCGACTTGGTCGAATCCCGCGTCGCAGTGGCCGAAAAATGGCTCGTGTGCTGAACATATCGCAATATTCCAAATGAGCTCGGGGTACAGCCATTTATTTTCGAAAAAGAGCAAGACCTTACACCGCAACAGAAAGAAAATAGACTCACAAGAGCTAAGGAGTTGCTTCGGTAGGCCAAAAGTGGTGAACTGCCGAATTTGGTTTTCTGCGATGAGAAAACTTTCGTTGTCCAGCAGTTTGTAAACAAACAAAATGATCAGGTTTTTACTTGCCAAAGAGGTCAGCTGAAAATGTACACCTTCGGTTGGCCACCAGAACTCAAGCGCCGGCCATGGTGATGGTGTGGGCCGCCATAACTACCGATGGTCGCTCTCCACTCGTAATAATCGTAGGAATATTATCCGGAAAATATTGTGGAGGGTGTATTAAAGCCTTGGGATGCAAACATTTTGGCCGCAGACCTTGGACATTCCAACACGACTTAGCACCATTGCACTCAGCACGCGCCACCCAAGAATTGTTACAAAATGAGGTTCCTCCCTTCATTTCCAGCGCACAATGGCCACCAGAATCTCCCGATACCAATCCGTTGGACTGTTTTGTCTGGAGTATTTTGGAAAGCAAGGTTGGCACTAAAAAATCCCAAAATGTCGATCACCTCAAGCAAGCGCTTTACCGAAATGGGCCAAAATACCGCAGAGCTATATTTTCACACAAGACCTAGGCTGAATCTATATTAAAATTATTTTCTTTAAAATATTGACCTTTTGTAGGGGAGGTGCTAGAGGATTAAAGAAATCTTGGATATCTCCGAATTCGACCAACATTTAAATGAAACACTATTATAATAATATAATAATGATGTGAAGAATTAATTAGATAGGTTTTGGAACATTATTTTCTCAGGTGGCGAAATTAGTTTGATTGTTCTAGGTTTTTGT